AATGAGAAAACACAGTGAAAAGGAGCAGAAAAGGCACAGTTTGTGTGAGCAGATTGGGACTCGGAGACCATCTTTAGATCCCAGTTTACCAGTCACTTCTTCCAGGAAGCCTTCCCTGACTTCTCTAAGGCTGACTTGGGTCTTCCTCCTCGGGGTCCCTCACAAGCTGTCCACCCAAGGTGACCTTCAGAGGCTGTCCTCCTGTTTTGTGCTGTCTGCCTCCCTGGCCAGACTCCAGCTGAGGGCCCTCGAGCACACACTGCACCTCTCATCACATAGCGGGTCCCAGGGACAGCAGACTGCTCTGGGTTGGGGGGGCAGTGGGGGTCGAGGCTGAGCCCAGGCCTTTGAGCCCGTGAACTGAGTGCTCTGTGTTTACCCCACAAGGAAGGTGGGTTCCACCACAGCCCCCGGACTAATCCAAGTCTTCCTGTTCCGGTTCACCTTATCTTGATGAAGAGAGCAATTTGTTTTACATCTTTTGTAGGAGCCCAGGCAGTTGCGGCCCATCAAGTAGAACCATGTGGGGGTGGCGGTTTTCTGATTACAATCCATTAAGGCTAAGCTGTGATTTCTAAAGCTCTTTCATTTGTGACATGAGCCAAACCCACACCCAATTTCCTCTCGCGTAGAAGGCAGCATGCTACTCTTATGAAAATGATTTTTTTAATTATGTTATTTTAAGCAGAAGCATAACTGAAAATGCAGATTGAGCAAAACAGAATACTCCAGTTGGCACACAAAAAAGAGGGCTTTTGAGAAAGGCAAGCAAGAGCCCACATTGGGGCCTGGATCATTTTAACCGTTTCCAGCCTGGTTTCCTGGTGAAGTTCGCTTTTTCCCAGCTCTGTTCAACACAACAGCAGAAGGGCTACTGGGCCCTGGCTTCCCCGATTGCCCTCCCCTGGTCTGAGCCCTCACTGACATCCCGTCTCTTGCCAGGGCATGTCTCAGCCTTGTCCGCCCCCCTCCCCCCACCCCGACCCTGGTTGTCATCACTGCGGCCCATAATCGTTCAGAACCTTTGGGTACGAGGCAGGTCCCGAACAGCGGGCGGGCTGCTCCCAGTACCTCATGCTCAAGACCTCAGAGTGCCCCAAGGCCCTGAGGATCTAACAGCGCCCCCTTTCCTGGTCCTTTTCCATCAGCACACAGCCGAGAAGTCCAGCCTTCCCCTTCTGGCCTTTCCAGTTCCCCAGGGGCACTCACTGTCAAGACAGAGACTGTCTGTTTGTCCCTAATGGAAACGAACTTTTTTTAAAGGTCCTGAGACCCCCAATAAACGGCAGATAGAGTTTCTCCTCCCATCAAGCCCTGTCTCTGCCCAGTAGCGTCAGCATCCGAATTGGCACCCGGCAGTCCGCTGTTACCCCTTTGAGTCCACGTGGGGCAGCATCCCTTCCAAGAGAAGGGGCTGGTATGTGTGAATATCCCTGTGGAGTCCTGTTAAGGAATCTTTTCATCCGTAGGAGGAGTGATGTCACTCACTGGAAGGTGGCCGTGAGCAGGAGTGAGTGTCTAATTCCTCCACCCAAGGCCTGGCATGTGACCACCACAAGGCATTTAACCGGGATGTCTTGCCAGAACCCCAAACTCAGAATGGCCCCAAACGGAGCTCTCTGTGCCTCCACCATGAGCACGCTCCCCTGTGTGTGACCCCAGTGTTCCCCACCTGAGTACAAGGACTGGTGTCTGCCACCCCCATGGCTCCCAGGACGTGGCCCAGCGGTGAGCTTTCCACTTAGTTGGGGCATGATGCCCGTGCTGCCTTTGGGAAGGCCTTCCCTGAGCCGACTGGGGTTACGTTTACTTGAACTAAAATATAGACGTATCGGGTTATTTACAGACAGGCTTAAAAGGGATCAGAGGGACTTGGCAGCAACCCTGCCCTCACGGGGATGCGTGCGTCGAGTCTTGGTTATTTGGTAATCATGGAAGGCTGTAAATGAGTCGATGGCCTTCTGGAACCCACGAGACACTGCCCCGGGATCCGAAAGCCGGCCCCTGGGCCTCCGCAGTCTGCACCCACCGGAGCCCTACTTGATACACTCCAGCTGCCTGACATGCTGAACTCAGAAACGGGCACACGTCTGCCCCGAACGATAGGAGCAAAAGTCACCACTCTGTCTGTGGGGTGACGAGAAAGCCTGCCCCTGTTGTTGCTGCACAGCCCACACTGTCGAGGAATACACATCAGAGATTAAAAGAGAGGCTCCTTCCCTCTGATCCTCCTCGGCGTGGGCGCCACAGGCCCCTGCAGGACCTTGGAAGCCCCAGCCTGGTTTTCTGAACGATTCTGAATTATTGAAACTGCCTTGTTGCCTGCTGAGTTCTGTTTTAGCAGTAGTGCGCCCCAACCCCCCCTTCTCTGAACGTTCCCACAGACAAGGGGCTTAAAAGATCCTCATTACCTGAAATAGGACCATGGTTACAAATTTGCAGCCTCTGTGCGGGCCAGTGCTGGCCGGGGTAGATAACACAGCGGGTTAGGGAGCTCTCAGGTCCCTGACCAAGGACCCACAGGAGCCACTCGGAGGTCAGGAGCAAGGGATCCAGGCAGAGCATCCCAGAGGAGGGAGAAAGGGGGAGGGGAAGCAGAATCCTAATAGGCCTGTGGTTCACAAATCAGTGCCAGAAAACAGCAACCTCGGGTGGCTTTTAGTAAGCCTGCCTTTGTGCACGTGGGCTCCCGCTGATGCGTGTGATGACCCTTTACTGCAGTGGCATCAAGCACTTTCTATATTCTCCTCCTGGGATGCAAAGGAAAATGAACGTTCCCTTCAGGAATTTGCATTCAAGCAGAAAACACGGAAGCACGTAATGATGGGACACCGGGGTTTGCCCAGTGATAGACACAAGTATGAGTAGCTTCCAGACACACGTCCTAGCTCAGACCCTTCCTCACGATTCCTTGGTTGCCATCTGGATGTCCCAGGGGCGTGTCAGGCTGAACACATTTAAGGTTACACGTGCACAGTCCTACCCCTGTTTGTCACCTCAAGGAATGGCCTTCCCACGGGGCCCCTCTTGGTACTTCCCTCTCCTTCCCCTCCTTATTTCACACTCACTCCCTGTCACTTGGCCTCCCTAAGGAAGGCCTCTCAGGTCCAACCCACTGTCCCCACCTTGATACCAGCTCCTGTCACCTCTCATCTCCGCCCCTGATCGGGGTCCCCTACCTGCTCGGGGCCCCTCCAGTGTGTTCTTTCACAGATTGGTCAAGAGACACCATGGCCCTTTCCTCGCCCCCCCCCCAACAAGTGCATGCCCCCATGTGCGTGTGTGCACGCCCACACACGCACACACACACACACACACACTTAAACATGTTACCATCTCTCCACGGCTCTCTGTTGCGTTTATGATCAAACCAGTACTTGGCAAAGTTGGGGGTGGTGTGTCACACCAGCCCCTCCAGCCACACTTGCTTCCTTTTTTGACTTTGATACATTTTTTAAATTATCATACAGACCAACTGGCCTTTTATTTCTTTCAATAGACAGCTCTATGAGCCCTAACACATGTTCTCCTCTCCTTTTAATACCTGGCTACACCATGCTCCTTCTTGCCCCTTCGTGACGACCTCTCCGTCTGCCAGCCTGCAGGGAACCAGGTCACTCTGCTCAGCTCCTGCAGAGCTCAGCTCCGATCTCCCTTCCTCAGAGATGTCTCCTCTGCCCACCTCAACTGGGTCGTGTTTTGTGCCCTCGTGGCACAAACTTTTCCTGCACAGCTGTTGTGTGGTGAGGTAGATTGACTAGTGTGGCTCTTGATCTAACTCCTGGCTGGTGAACCCCCCCACACCCCAGGAGGGGCATGTGTGGATTTGTACTTGCCGTCCTATCCCCTGTAGTGCTTGCCACTTAGTAGTAGGTGCTCAGCAAACACTTCCATGTGAGTAAATGGGCAGGGAGGTGCTCAGCAAATACTTCCATGCATGAGCAACTGGGCAGAGAGGTGCTCAGCAAACACTTCCATGCCTGAGTAACTGGGCAGGGAGTTGCCTGCATGGGAATGAGCAGCCCTGTAGTCGGGACTTGGGGGAGGCAGCTTAGTGTGGTAGGCAAGCCAGTCTCCACATCAGACAGACTCACTCTGAATCCCTCCCTTAGCTCTTTTTGTAGAATTTAACATCCTCTGAGCTTCTTGGCTCACTTCCTGAGCATAAATCCTAACAGCCTGTAGACAGGAGTAAATGAGCTAAACTGCATGGTAGTCTCAGTCTTAGTAGGTGCCTGCATCTCGCCTTTGTGGGTGAGGAGAGGCCCTGCTCCAGAGGGGCTCGATGCTGCTCCAGACCCTAATACATCCTCGGTGAAAACCCGCAAAGCCAGACAAGTTCTCGTTCTGCTCGGGGACCGTGGCCCTTCCTGCCGCTCCGCTGATTGAACGCTGCTGTCTGAATGCCTCCTGCTTGCCGCGGGGTGCAGGCGCTGTGGAATGTGCAGACCCCAGTCCCGGAAGCCCTGGCGGTCCACGGTGGAACAGTCAGGACGCAGACAAAAGCCGCGATGCTGAACGTGGGCTCCGGGCTGCGTTTAGTACCTAGTACCGTCCTTGGGAGTAGGGAGCAGCCAGCCCCCCGGAGGTGGGGGGGTCTTGTCTGGGTGGCCGGGCCAGCTTGGGACGGAGCCCTCCGCCTCCCCCAAGCGCCTCGCTGGCCAGGAGAGCCGAAGCCCTCACTCGGGGGTCCCCCGGGCCGGTGCAGGGGTTTCTGCGGTCGTGGCAACGCGGTGGGCGCTGCGTGGACGGGAGCCCCGGGTACTTACGTCCTGGGGCGGGGAGGAGCGGGCGTACTGAGAAAGCTGGGGGGTCTTGGAGAGGGCGCACTTCTCCCTCCCCCGGGCTTGTCTCCGGACAAGCCGAGGCGAGAACCCAGACTGGCAGGCGGTGGCAGGGCGGGGCGGGCAAGGCCTGCGGCGCCGGGGAACGCTGCCCCTGTGCCCCTCTGACCACAGCCTCTCTCTGCTTCCCCCCTCTTCTCCTCCACCCGCGCACAGGAGCCTTTCTCCTGGGAGGGATCCTCTACTCGTGGCAGTTCCCCCACTTCAACGCGCTGAGCTGGGGCCTCCGCGAAGACTACTCCCGCGGCGGCTACTGCATGATGTCGGTCACGCACCCGGCCCTGTGCCGGCGCGTCGCGCTGCGCCACTGCCTGGCCCTGATCGCACTGTCCGCCGCCGCGCCCGCGCTCCAGGTCACCACGTGGGCCTTCCCAGTCATCTCCCTCCCCATCAACCTGTACATTTCCTACCTCGGCTTCCGGTTCTACGCCGACGCGGACCGGAAGAGCTCCCGGAAGCTGTTCTTCTGCAGCCTGTGGCACCTGCCCTTGCTCCTGCTGCTCCTGCTCACCTGCAAGCGGCCCCTGGGCGCGGGCGGGGCCGCGGGGGAGCCTCAGGGTTGAGACCCCCGGGGGCGCGCGGGGGAAAAGAAAACAGGAGAAAAAACGCGGACAGGGAGACGCACTCTTTTCTGCCTCCTTTGCGGTGAGACAAGACTGTGTTGGTAATTCTGGAGCTCCAGAAGGGAAATTGCTGGGTTTTCGTACGAGATCGTACAGAGATTTGGTGCTCAGTGATCACCGGACGATTTTTTTTTTCATGATAACGTCCGAAATACTCCCCAAATAAATAGGTTGGCTCAGGTGATGAATACAAAGAGAATCTTGTTCTCTTGAAGGGTCTTTATGTATTTCTTCCTCCAACACCCGTGTTGTTTTTCTTCTTCCTCCTGTGGATGTACAAGGGCACCTCTTCCTTCTCCGGCCACACACACACACACACACACACACACACACACACACAAACTCTCTCCCCACCTGGCCAGCCGAGATGGCCAGATGCCCAGGGAGCACTGGGACTGCGTCTGTGGTCCTGCGTCCTCAGGTGTCTGGAGGGCCGCGTCCCAGGGAAGATGTGCGCACCGCCGGCCCTCCCTGTGAGTGAGCCGGGGGCCCCGGCTCCGGCTTTCTCACGTGTATTCTCAACCGCACATCCCCCCAAACAATAACAGAATACCAAGGATGCGCTGCTGCCCGACTCCGGAAGGGAGAATTCCAAACGGTTGCCTAGGGGATCTTGGACAGGACTGCCAGCCCCGGGCCCACCCCCATTACGAAGCGGAATGAAAGGCATCTTTATAGTTGGCTTGAAATACAGGAGGTGTCTGAAGCGTTTCCTTCTGGAAGGGTGCGCTAGACTTCCCGCCAGCAGTCCGTCTGCCTCTGACCCCTTACTGTCCCCCTCTGGCCTCTGCTGCCCACCGGAGCAGGGAAATCCGGAAAAAAGGTGAGCTGGCCTAGCCAGCCACAGAGCTCACGTTCTTGTCCCTTTAGTAAAAAACCACATTTCTCTCCAGGTACCTTCTGAATCCAGAAAGTATCCCCATTATGTCCAATGGCCGTAAGAGCCAGAGGCTTGGGCTGGACTCCTCTTGGGGATTCGTCCAGTTCTGGGAGTTGTGTGAGTTCACCTGTAGCCAGGTGTGGCCTCAGTCACCTGTGGTTCCTTCCATCCATCCCTCACATGCACCACTAGTCCACTGTCAAATCCCACTTCCTGGAAGGTCTTGATGCTTAACAGGGTGTTTGCTTTACTCCGTCTCCTGGGGCTTTGCTGCCCCGGAGGAATTCATTTTGGGGAGTTTAAGCAACATTCAGACGGTCCCTGCGATGTGCCTGTTCTCAGACATTTCTAAAGCGTCAGATACCGTCTGACCCCTGTTTCTACTTATCTGCAATATTACCTCTTGGCTGTATCCCCGTTCTTGACTGTGGGGAACATGGCGTAGGAATGTGTGCAAAGAACATCAACACCTTGTTGCAGCCTTCAGATGTGTAAAATGCCTCCATTCTCTTTTGCTGCCGCAATAAACCAGTATGTAAGGACAGAAGCGCGTGTGAGGTCCTTTCTTTAATCACCTTGTATGATGACTCACTTTTATGAGCTAGCAAATGATTAGAACGCATCAGTATTTCTGTGTCAAGGCAGTAGAAGTGAACACACTGGGGGGAGGTTTTTGTTAGTTTTTTGTGTTTTGTTTTGGTGTGTTTTGTGTTTTGTTTTGTTTTGTTTTTTTAAGTAGGGGAGAGAGACAGCAGACTTCCTGCCCAGCACAGATCCTAACTCGGGGCTCGATCTCAAGACCCTGACCTGAGCTGATATCAAGAGTCAGACGCTTAACCAACTGAGCCGCTCAGGAGCCCCCAAACTTGATTTTTAATACTTGTACACTCCAAAGACTAATGAGCCATAATTATTAAGCATCATGATTATTAAGAAGAAAAGCCATGACCCACCTGCCCTCACCCTCCCTTCGGTTTGGAATCCCCCAGTCGCTTCTTTCCTTCCAAACCAGCACAGAAATCATCCTAGTGCCTCGTAGGCCTGTCATTTGCCTGCTCGGGAAATACCGACGACTTTTATACCGTCCCCGTCTGGCAAATGAAGTTGCAGCTTTTCAGTGCTCAGACCCAGTTTTCTCTCCGGGGATCTCCGATGTGAAGCCACCTTGGGGATTTCCTGCCATGCCTCAGACCTCCCTGCGGACACCCTGTTCTCAGATGACCCCTCCACCTCCCCAAACCCCTGCCCCATAGGTCCCAGTGTGGAACGTGGATTTCAGGCTCCAGTGACCGCCTCCCACCCCGCCACCCTCCAGGCCCCAAGATGTTGCTCGCTCCCCCAGAGTACTGGGGCACCTTGTTTCTCCACACCTGACCTTGCCCACCTTTCCTAAGGACTCCATGCTCATCAGCATTATCGAGGTGGGTGAAGCCTGTTCTTTAATGGTGGGAAGTCTTGCCAGCACGACAGCTCCCTTCAGGTATCACTTAGATGCATGCAGCATGGCCTCAGGGTCCCCAAAGTTAAGTAAAATAAAAAAAAAAAAAAAGTCTCTGTGTTTGCTTTCCCTGGTCCTTCCCAAGTGTAGGACCCTTCTCCCCGGGAACACTTCCCACCCCGCTCCTGGATTAGTGGACGGGAGCACAGCGTGGGACGTGATCTCTGGACTAATCAGTTTTTACTCGGGTCCTTCAGGCCACTCGGCTGCAAGTGCAGGACTAGGCCCCTGGGGGCCCTGATGGGGTAGGGGCTACAGAAGCGGGAGGAGGGCCTGGAGATAAGAAACAGGGTTGCACCGGGAGGCCGGTTATTCTAGAACACAGCAAACAAATAAAAGGGGGAAAGGACGCAACCGGCTGCTTCATTATTAGCTTTTTTAAAAGCATGCTTCTTAGCGCAGTGTTCCTCCTGACCCTGGGGAAACTGTACCAGCCTCCCTTTATTTCAAGAAAGCCACCGTATCTGTTCTAAGGATAAAACCACATTTCACCAAAGGCTCTGCCTCTGGAAGCCTGCAGCTGCCTGGGGAATGCCTTCCCTGCTCCCAGGACCCCGCTCTTGTCTTTTCAAACATTAGAAATGGGCTCCATAGAAACACCTTTCGACACATGTGCTTTGAGCACCCCATTTGCTCGTTCTGGAAGAGAAAAGGAAAAACTGTCGAGAGCCGTGCTTGGCTTAGAAGCTCCTGCCGCTTAGTTCACCCTGGTTTCCCCCCACCCCGCCATCCTCCTCCCCTCCTGTCTGCTGTGCTAGGGAAACAACGAGGACCCAGCACTTCTCTGCCAGGCAGGCTATGCTGGGAGCAGAGCAAAGCTTTTCCTCCTTGCTGCCCCTGGTGTGACGGGAGGCTCCCTCTGTTTCTGCTAGAGCCGGGGTCCCCGACTCCCGACACGCCCCAGATGATTGGATACTTATAACTGACCGCAGAAAGGTCCCTTCTAAGGACATGCTCACGTTCCAAGAGAACAGCTCATTTGACTTGAACGGAGATGGGGACGTTGCCTTGGTTCTTTCTTTGGAATTAGAGGCCCATGGGGGATGACCCGCAAGGCTCTGCTGCTGCAGGGGCACATTCTCTCCCTCTGGTCGGGTCAGTGGTTTCAACCAACCAGGCGTCTAAGGCAAAAGGAAGATAAATAGGGTCCGGCCATCAGTGTGGACACTTGGCAGACTGCTTTGGGGTCTTTCCCATCAGCTGTCAACTGTAGGTACGTTTCTATCTGCTCATCTATGCAGATGAGCATAGATGAGCATAGACTAGAAGTAAGCAGTACACTTGCTTAGTCTTTGTTGGAAACTCAAAAATATTACAGTTTCCCTGCATCTTGAGGCCACAATTTCCTAACCAAAAAGAAGATGTGAAGAGATATTCTGGATCAAAGAAGCCCCGGCTCTCACTTCTTGATTCAGGTTCTGTCCCACGGTCACTGGTCCCCACCAGGCACATTGCAGAAGATCCGAGAGGCAAGGCATCTGGTGGCATCCGACCTCCCCGAGCTTGGGTGATGGGCCCAGCCTGGGTCACTGCTCATGGCAATCCATCGCAGAGGCCGCTGGCTGGAAAACGTCCTCTGTCCTGACTCTGACCACCCCTCACCTCCTCTCCTGCCCACTGGCTTGGGTTTTTGACGTGTTTCTGGGCTTTGCCTGCTCTACCTGAAGACCACCACCCAGCCAAGCACTGTTCCGCTGCATCCGTCTCCGTTAGGACCCATCGATATGCAACCTTCGTGTTGTATTTACCTGTCTATAGACCGTTCCTTGTTTCCCCAGCACCCCCATTAGACTCGAACCCCAATAAGGCAGCACTCTTTCTCACCGCTGTGTCCACTGGAGCCTAGAAGCAGGACTGACCAGGCCGACGATCAGTCAGTGACAGAAGGAAGTTGTGGGTGGCTTCCGGGGAGCCGCTGTGGGGGGCAGTGTGTGGCGGGAGTTGGAGGAGGGACGACTGTCTCTGCGGGGGTCCTGGACCAGCCCTTGAGGGTGGAGGAGAGTGGCGTCCGCCCCCGGGACCGAACCTGGGGCGAATGCAGCTTCGTGTTCAGCAGACTTGACCCAGGATGAGTTACTGTCATTTCTCGATTTCACACAGTTTTGGTTTTCCGAATGCGATAGATTTTTACCACTTCCTCTCTCTTTGGGGCTATCTTGGCTCAAGTACTTAGCAGAAGAGCGACCTTAGTTGAGTGGACCTCTTGGCCATTATTTCTCTCTCTCTCTCTGCCCCTCCAACCCCCACCTCTTTTTGGTAGGGGGGCTTTTTCAGATAGGTTAGCCAAGAACTTAGTGTCTTGCTACCTTTTTCCCCTAAAATCATTGGTTGGACTCCTTCCCAGCCCCCGTGGGCTCCGCTAGCACACCGGTTCATAACTTGGGGGACCCATCTGAGAAGTGCAAGCCGGGAGAATGGGCACAAAGCTCAGGTCAAGGTCTAGAAGGCGGGTCGGCCAGATTGGGTGGGTGAAAACGGGGTGGGGGCGGGGCATTGAAAGCCTGTCTTTCCTCAGGAGCTGGCAGCCAGAGGCCCTGTGGGCTGGGGGACCTCCCAAAACTACACTTAGGGGTCAGCTCCTCTCACTAAAGCAAAGCCCAGTGCAGAGCTGGGACTGGCAGGAGCAGGGAGGGTCAC